CCCCCCCTTCCCAGCACTCCCCGTCACTTTGGTTGGTGTCAGGACAAGTGACAGTGGAAAGGTAGGCACCATATCATGGCTGGAGACCACTGCAAAAGGAGGGGAATGGCACTGCTATCCTGTGTCCCATTGCCCACAATGCCAGGTACAGTTGGAGCCAGTTCGAGGGGCGGGGACACCTACCCAACTGTCCCCACTACCTCTAAGTCGAGGAAAAAAACTCAATCCAAATCTATGCTGGTCTAAGTAATCAGTGTAGATAGGACCATTACTTCAGCAACTGATCCAGTGGGTCTACTGTAACTAGATTATCAACTGGATTTAGGACTTTATTTTTAAAGGTCTTTATTTTCATTAATCTTTTTATATTATCAAATATTGTTATATGATAGATTATTGAATGTCTTTTAATACTGAAGAGGGTTCTAAAGAACATACCATCTTGGAAGCCATTTTCCAATATATTGTACCTGGGTTACTTTCACATTCGGTCCATTTTGGGCAAGACTTGTAGTTTATTCCTAAAATAAAGAAATTTTAAAACATAAATAAATATCTAGTGCTCTGTGAAGCAAAAAGAATTAGGATTTCATATAATCTCTCACTTTTTCTCTATCCCCCTCCCTCTTTCATATTAATCCTTCTATTAATATGATCTAACACATATTTTCTGTTTTCTCCCTAATATAAGAAAATGTTTTGTACTTGTGTGCATAATGTAGAACTTTTCTATTCCACTGATTTTTTTCTTCGAAAATTCATTTAGTTGCCTCCTGCTAATTCACTATGGAAACCTTCCTTCTGCAGACACAAAATTCTTCCCATTACAAATCTCTTAAGAATGTCATGGAAATATCTGCCCCCCTCCATATGCTCCTCCACCAAAAATCATGTATCTCTTGCACAGAATTGGAAACTCTTCTTACCTGGGCTAGAGGGGTCTCCACACCACGAAATGCCATCCGCTATATAGCCTAGCAGAGTATCCTCCAAAGTGACAAAATCCTGATTAGCTTTAGTGTAACGATGGACAAGGTTACCTGTCTTGCTCCAGAATAGTGACTACAAATAGAAAAACAATAAAGAACATAGTGTACTGGTTTGAATACTGGACACCAGAGTTTGATTCCTACCTTAGCCATGAAGACCCAGAAAGTTGTGATAGGGCCATTATAAGTCAGAAACAACAACAAGAAGGAACATAGCAACAATAATATATTTCCTCCTATTTATATCATCCAAGCGTATTTTCCAAGTTTTAAATTTTAATCTGTTTTAACTCTGTTTAAATATGTTGCAATTTTTGAAATGTTTAGGTAACTGTTGTTGAGGCACAACGTGAGCTCCCCTGTCGGGGTAGAGAAGGGCAGGATACCAGTATGGCAAATACATACATACATACATACATACATACATATTACATTTGGCTCAAAGTAGTTTATATGCTGTTGTAATTGCCTTTTTGTAAATTGTCCTTATATGTGTGTACACCGCCATGAGTCGCCCTAAAGGGCTGAGAATGGCGGTTAATAAATGCATCAAATAAATAAATAAATAAATAAAGTACTGCTGTAATGTTTATCTATAATACTCTAAATGTCTGGTACAAAGAAGAGGATTCACCCTTCCCCCCAAGTCCATGTATAGAACTCAAATGGAGAAACTGCCGAATTTTGTGTTGTCGAAGGCTTTCGTGGTCAGAATGACTGGGTTGTTGTGAGTTTTCCAGGCTATATAGCCATGTTCCAGTAGCATTCTCTCTTGACATTTTGTCCACATCTATGGCAGGCATCCTCAGAGGTTGTGAGGTCTGTTGGAAACCAGGCAAGTGGGGTTTATATATCTGTGGAATGTCCAGGATAGGGCTCCACCAGGCCTGTAGCGAGGGGGGGGGGGTTAGGGGTTCAACCCCCCCCCCCGAAATTTTTCAGGTTAAAAAAAATAAACCTGGTTTACTCATGAATTTTAACTGGTTAACCAAATCCCCATGCTAAGTCTATGAGACACAAAAAATTAAGAGTCCTTCCAGAACTGCAAGCACTATCTCAAGCAAATATCGACAATTTATTCACACTGTCATTACTTGCAGCAATAGCTGATGTAGTGAAGCAACCAAGTTGGGGGGGTGTTGAATGCTCTCATTAAGGAGGCCAGACTTGGTGGAGGTGGTTGACAGGGGCGGAGCTGCAGGCTATTGAAGGCTGCTCTGCCCCTGCTGTGCTCTTTGCTTCAGTGTGAGCTAAGAGGCAGGTTTCAACCCCCCCCCCGAAATTTTCAAAACTCCCCCCCCCCCAAAAATTTCAACCCTCCCCGAAAATTTTTTCTTGCTATGGCCCTGTCTGGAACATAGCCATACAGCCCAGAAAATTCACAGCAACCCAGCTGAATTTTATTTCAACATTGGCATTAGGATGGCATTCTCCATTAGACTCGAGGGCACCTGGGTAGTTCATAGGATGCAGTATGAGTCATACCACACTGTACTTCTTAAGCAAATTAGTATGGGGAACCAGCAAAGTTTTCTGCTTAATGTGATAGGGACTGGCACTATAAACACTTTCATTGACTACACTGTTTTTTCCTGGAAATTTATAGTGGAACAGGAAAAAATCATTAATAGCCATACGTTGGAAAAATATCAGTGGCTACCATTTATAATCACCTGTCCAATTTTGGGATAGCTCATGAAAAAGCAATGTTGGCGATCCATTGCATACATAACATTATATAAACAATTTTTGTTCCTGGGTTATAAATGTCATTTTCTAATTGGCTCTATCATGAAAACATGGAAAAAGGTCAGTAAACTGCAAAAAAGAATTTGTTGTTTGTACAAAAGGTTAAATATAGTATATAAAAAACCACACATTGAAAGGTCACGGGTTACTGAAAATACCCTTTATGAAGAAAATGAAGTCAATATGGAATAAGGGTAGCAAACTTTTTCCAAGGAATCCAGCAGAATAAAAGAGTACAAAAACACTCCAAAAGTCCTGAGGCTTACCTTGTTACAAGGGATAGAATGCCTTGCCATGTCCATCAGAGGCTGGTAATCTTTCTCAGTTATGCTGCATGGGTCCTTGTACATAAATGCCTTTTCGAAGAGTTCCCAAATTTTGAGGCAGTCTTTATTTCTGCTGAGAAAAACAACGTGGGCAGTCAGAAAATGGCTGCACTTCAACCCACCTTGCATAGGAAGAAAACATCTTTGGTTAGGTTTATACAAGTCTGAGAATTTGCTTTTCTCTATTGTAAATAGATTTTGTGACGTTATGCTACTGTTCAAAAGATTATTTGCAGTAGAACTTTGTAAGCACAAATATATCATGTGATAAGACAACAACCTTAAGGCAAGTTCTCGCCAACTGAAAAGTGATTTTAGTATGGACCGAGGCACACTGAGATGGAGGCCC